AAGACGGGACACCGATTCTACCCAATAGCTGTGTATTTCTTTATGCCTCGTTTCCACGTCATCTGTTGACCTCCACGTGGTTTCCTCCTGCCCGGATAAGCTACAGCGAATAAGCCGCGATGTGGTAGACGGTAGCTGGGTATACGCAATACGTGACCTAGCCAGCGAAGTTTGCCAATTTGAATTCGATGCGCTAGGAGGTTTATACTTGAGAGACTTCCAAAAACATGGCGGCTAACCACCGGATTAGTAACCCGTTCGCTCCGTCTCACGTGGGTAAAACTATGTAAACAACGATAGTCGAAAACCTCTACTCGATGGATATCTTCTACTCGCGAATTGAAGTTCTTACAACAATGAAGCAGGAATGAAAGAACGATAGTACAACTTTTAAAATCCAGCGAAAAATCGCGCCTATGCCAAAGGTGTTTCAGTCCCGCCTATGCTGCTCGAGCCTTGGAAATGCGAGCGGCTATCTCCTTTGCAGCGCTTGCGCCATTGGTCACGCAACTACCTTAGTACGATAAGTAATCCACTATAATTAATTCCTGGCTATTGCGTTTCAAGGGAGGAGTAGGCGACACCCAGTTCTGCAGCATCACTTTTCGATTTGAAGGCGCAAAGCACATTCCGAATGTGGCAACTGCACTTGTTTGTCTACCAAGTGCTTTTTGCGCATCTTCCAAACAGACAGACAATGTCATCGGCGTACTCCAAATCGCACAGTTTTTCTCCAGCTTTCCATTCAATACATACCTTTTTGGAGACCATTTAGTGCATTCTCCAGAAGTTCGTCTACGAAGAAATTGAACAGGAACAGTGAAAGAGGGCACGCTTGACGAACCCGGCCTGCGTTGTTCGTTGTTGTAAACCCGCATTCTACATACATACATACATACACACACACACACACAGAATGTGACGTTCGTGATGAAAACTAGCAACTAAGTGACACCAGATGTAAAAAAGTAACACAACTGTTGTTAGCGATACAGTTCTGTTAAGAGCCATAGTAATAGGGGATAAGTGTTCAGGTGTCCCATTAGGAGATTACCCGAAGGACCATGACAATCGGATTCGAGCGACCACTACATCTTCTTGCACATCATCGTCATCACCTCGGCCTCTATATTCCTTTATTTTATTTCATTTATTACACACATCTGTACGGTGAACAGCAGATGGGGCAAACCCCACAGTCACGTGGACACGCTGATCCGTCACGAAAACCCGTAACCTGAGACCCTGGACTTGGAGTGACGAACCACATAAAGCCCTCATAGGTTAGACGTGGTATTGAACCGGAAGACAGCAAAGCTGTCCGAAAATTGATCCGATCAGTGTGCATGAAGCCTACGTTGAATTACGTCCAGCGATTGAACAAGAAAGGCGGTCTGACAACACATTCATTCGCGTTAATATAAAATATATCCTACTACTAATATTGTTTATCGTCACAGTGCTTACCCGGCGTGAATTCACCCAGGATCCCAATTTGCCGTTGCGCTTTTGGATCAGCAGCACTGATGAGTTATACGGGCCTTGAGCGTCTTCAATGATTCCCTCCTTCAACATTTGTTTGACTTGCCGCTTGACTTCATCCTCCAAGTGTAGTGGAATTCAGCGTGAAAAATAGGCTCGAAATTTTCCTACCTTTATTGGAATTTCGTCTTCGACCCATTTAAGGAACCTGCACGGATCATGATCGCCTGTGAACAGATGGGAGTGTCGTTGCACCACTAGCTGAAATGACAGCCACAAATTCGTGTGTGTTGTTTCTATAATGGCTGATAGTTTCTTCCCTTTCGAGCGCCACAGTGGGATCGTACCGAATTTGGTAACAAGCCGTCCGTCGTTCAGATCAACCATGGCCTCTACACTGCGCGAGATATCTGTTCCCGGACTGGTCTGACCCGTGTCTTTTGATATGACAAAAGGATGCTTGATTATCCTGTTTCCAACACAGACAGTCCGCTCCGCTACCCCATTTATCTGCATCCGGTATCCGCCAACTGCTTTTACGGGTGTATCCAATACTCCCAGTGACTTAGTTGATTGAGGCCTAGCCAAAGACTGCCGCACTCGTATCAGTCAAGCATAGTTCTCTGTGACGCCCCACCTCCCCTCCCTACTCCCGATCTTCAACTTACCCTGTACTACCCGGCGATCTATTGCTCCGATGATTGCTTCGTTTGAGAAAAAACGCGTGTACGGAATCCATAGGGTATTGGAAGAGAATTTGTTGTAGCTGTCGGGGCAATTTTGCCGTCGATGGCCTCGCTTGCCGCGATGAAAACAAAACATTTGTGTTTTTCTTCCGTCCGAAATTTAATTTGAGTGCTGCCACTTCCTCCATCAGTCTGCCTAATGTGACTTTCATCTCCTCCGGCGGCTCATGATTATGGACTTCGTGTGTTTGCACGGCAGTGACTTTCTGATCGATGAACTGTCTCACAACTTCGGTTAACGTCATCATATCCATGGTACGCGCCATGTTGATGTTTCTCGCCTTCTCACGTATGTCCTCCCAGAGGATCTCCGTGAAACGGTCGGGGGTAACACGGCGCNGGTGCATACCCCTCTTTGGCATGCCTTGACCCTCTGTGGCCTGGAGCAATTCCGAGCGTGCAGCAATGTCGGTAGCGTGCGATCCAACAAGCCACACTCCAGAATCCACTAACAATAAATCAAGCTCAACGCTGCCAGACGTTGAAAACGGGAGACAGACACGCTTATAATCCAAGAAGCAGTCGACTGTTAATCGAGGCATGCACCAACCGTCGTCGCTGAGGAGAGAGATGTTGTGAGATACTACTCACATTCGTGAGTAGTACGCAAAATAGTGCAGTTGGTGGTTTCCTACAACGATAAAAAATTAGCAAGACCACTGAGAGCAAATAGCCGTGCCCCAAAGAATAACTACAGTCTGCTCCATTCATTACCCTACGTGCTGCCGGGAATTGTGATGATATGCTTCAAATGAGATATCTGTTACATGTCAAATCGCCGATATCCTAACTGTAATCTGCAAGAAACAACTATCCTAGACCAGGTACTGCTATGTGCAATTATAAAACAACAACAACAACATGAAACAAGCACAAACAGGCGATTTGTTCACTTACTTCGAATGTTTATCGTTTTTTCCGTATAACGAGATAGATAGGAGAGAATTTCCCACTTCCAATATTTACGATACAATATGAGGCCACGATCCGAGAGCGGGCGTTCCGGCGATCCAATTCGATTTTCTAACAGGCTGAGCACATAGCCTAGTC